GCTCCATGAATACAGATAGAGTTTGAAGTGCAACTAATCAGATTATGTACGGACTGTCTCAAGAAGTTTTTAGTAGACGTGAAAACCATAGGATTAGCATCGCTGTTGTTGACGTTTTTAATAAAATTCATCATTTTTACCGACGTTTTCTAAAAAGTTGCCTTGTGCGTCCGTGAATCGCACAAATTACATAGCCACCGGAGGTTCCGATCCCTATCTCTCGGTAGCATTTGGAACAAAAAAAGCCGCAAGCCCTACGGGACACCATTAAAACATAGGGCCCCAGAAGCACGTCACTGAAAACTAGTTTTTGTCATTTGTACAACCTTATGCAATTTAATAGAATGTCGACAGCATAGTGGCTAAAGGGAACTCATTCAGTGTCCATAGCAAGCAACTCATTCAGTTAGATAGTCAGGGATGGAGCATCCCCAACGTATTGTTACTAAAATTCTCTGACCCTGCACGATAATGGATCACCAATGATATTTTTGGAAAGTCTAATATTTAAGCTGAAAAAATGTACTGTTAATTGACATCGACATAATAAGAAACTTCCTTGTTGTATCAATTCTGATAACGGATTCCAACATTTTAAAAATTCGGTAATTTTGATTACACATTCTTAATCTGCGACCCCATAAATTTCAAGGTATGAATTATCAATTTACTTAATGAAGTTTAGATTTTTTACAAATTTCTCTCAGTACAATTCGATAGGTACTGCTTTTTTACAAAAAAAGCTCATTCAATCAATCAAGCGAGAATACCTTTTTTAGGCAAATGATACGGCTTTCCAAAAATTATAGTTTTTCGGACATTATTACACAGGGTGTAAAAAATATCAGCTCGCATTGTCTGGTTACCTCTCGATCAAAAATTTGTTGAATTAAGCAATGTTGTTCAAAGGTCATTTAACAAACAACAATTTCCAATGGCATTCATTGAAAATCCGTATCTTTGTAAGGACATCTCGTACCCTCGTAGGACATTTTTTGTAGGAATTTGTGGCTCTAAACATGCTGCTCTCTTATTACGATAAGTATCATATATTGGATAGATGATAGTTCTTATCCTTTTGTTTATTGTGACAAAAACCAACCAAGACCATGCTGATCAGTTGCCAAAAAGCACGAAACAGCTATACATATCTGGTTTTGGTCGAATGGACGAAAGCAGCTTGCTTAGTTGTTCAATGGCGAATAGACTAACTACATCTACTATTACAGCCAGAATCGTCAAGCGGTCACAGCAGTGACTGGTCGATCAAACGCGGACCGAGATTTTTATAGATTCCAACGATTTCGAATCGGTTAGAAGGAGCCAAGCCTATATGTTTACATTGTTTGTCGCCGAATTTGCGTAGTCTCAGTGCACACTTTTGACTCATTTGTCTACCGATGCCCATCAAAGTGACAGCGTTGTACCAAGACAATAGTTATACTTACCGGTGGAAGCATATCTACCTTGCTGCTCTCTACAAGTTATGTAAGAAGCACAAACTCTTGCAGTTTTCAAAAATTACATTAAAAATACGAATTTAAGGACAGAACTGTCAAAAAAATAACATGTCAAGTGGTTGGTTCCAACCGATAGCTGCTATCATGGGCGCAGGCTGGGGGGGCAACCACTGAGAATTCGCTTGCGCCTCAAAATTTGCATATTCAGTATCATTTTGTGTACAATTTTAAGGATTCTTAAGATACTTGCCCCGCTCTTTTGTAAGAGCAAGTTTTTGGGGCAGGTTCACTTTCACAAGAAGTTACCTATGTAAAGTAAAATAAAGTTTACTTACAAAAAATAGTGTTGTAAAATTAATGTGAAAGCGTACACTTTTTAGAATGGTAAACAAATAGGAAAACCACAGAAGCAAGCTTGTGCGTGGGATTGAATTACAAAGACATTAAACTGGTATAGATATTATGGTTATGGATATAGAGCCTTTTTAAAAATGTCCAGTCCATTGCTAATATTAGTAAAATAAAAGTCACTCATATATTCCACTATAAAATAGTTCGCACAAAACAATTCGACTAAAATCGGCTCACAATATCGGTCATAAAATGGGTAAGTTAATCCATAATCGGTAATTTGAAAATGCATGGTTAAAACAAGCATATAAATTCGTTAAAATCATCTACAGTCGGTTAATTTTACATTTTTGAAAAAACTAGCATAATATAATGCTATTAAAATTCGGTATCGATGTAAACAGAGGAAGAGAGAAAATGGATAAAAAGACAAAGTAACTATACAGACCTCACAGCAACAGTTTCAATACATTTATGAGACCTACACAATCGTCACAGATAGTATCTTTTTCCTAGGAGTATTTGAGATCCACAACTTAAGTTCTTTCTTGAACATACATTTTAAAAGCTTTGGCTCATAAGCACTTGTGATTTCTCAGGCCAACCGTTTTATAATTTTTTGGCAGTTTTAATTGTCCTGTATTATGGCAATGCTTAAGTTATCACTGTTACCTTTATGCAAGTGCTGAAATGTGGCTAGCTGTTTGAAAAATAATTGTCTGGTATCAAAAAATGCTCCCATTTCTTTGTAAAGCTCATCAGATGATTTGCCAAGCTACTCTTAGTATCCACTTCTGCATTACTTCCAATTTCTTGACGAAGATCGGCTTTCCCTGAGAAAAGTTCACAACTCCCGCAGTTGTCGATTCTGGTAATAGATGGTGCTTAGCGCTGCCTCATTTCGATAGATCTTTTACCAGTGATTGTGGTACAAGTGTTCCTCCTACAGAAAGAAATTTAAACTAAATAACTCGTGTAATAGATAAAATAAATCTTAACTTGAAAAACCTGCTTCGCGTGACGTTACCCTCATACTCAATCCCAGAATCTTAACTACGCCTCTGACTATGACCCATCCGTATGTCAGAAAAAGTGAACTCATAAATTATTTGACGCGTACCGAACCAATGAAGTCATTAAATTTTTATGAACACTCACAAAAAAGAGCCTTTCCTCATTTATAGGTCCATAAACGCAGACAAAAGGAACTAAAGTTCGAACTAATCACGATATCAACGAAAGAATAGTGAAAGAAAAAGAGAAAGGAGTGGAGCTGACGAGCGTGGCGAATTGTTGTAATTCAATGTTAACAAATTAAGATGACACCTTCGGATATCTAATGAAGAGTGGTATGGTTAAGAGCATCACGATGTTTCATGATTGCCTACTGTGGGAAACCTTTCATATACCGACTCCGACGTTATGGAACTGGGTTACAGCTACTTGCACATCGATTGGTACACATCTTTTGTGTGGTATACCTTCAGTCTATTTGTATTTTTATCAATCGATATTGGGCCTGCTATGTTGCTGGGAAGATGATATTCTCGCATGGTACCTGCGAGTGTTTGATAAATATTGAAAGCTGGTTGATAATCCAGGTTTTTCCGACTTACAGTAATGGACAAAAGTAATACACCAACCTGTATACATAATTCGTTATAGCATAATACTCACTTATACATAAATAAATTCATAAGTCTCCTTCAATAAAAAATTAATTGAAAAAACTGGAACTATGAAGGACAAAAATATATAGAGAAAGCAAAACAATTATAGAAAAAAGAAGCAAAGTTCATTGAATTATAGAAAACCAACCATGTTTGTGTTAATATTTTGTAGCATAACCATTATTATCAATCACCGCCTGGCATCGTCTCGGCATAGATTGTAGAAGTTTCTTGATATAAGATTCATCAATCTGTCTCCACTTTTGCTCTAACGCGGCAAAAAGTTCTTCCTTGTTTGAATAATTTTTATCTCGTATTTGCTTATCTAAGTATTCCCATAGATTTTCAATGGGGTTTATATCGGGAGACTGTGAAGGCCATTTGAGAACTGGTATTTTTTCATCCAGAAGGAATTTCAATGCGATGTGTGCTTCGGGTCAATGGGTGATATGCATAAAGGCGAGTGGCTACTTTTGACTCGCATTTTTAAAGTAGCCACTCCATTTGATATGCATAAAAATGTAAGTAGAAGCTCACACTCATAAGTTTCTACTCTTTCCGTGAGGCTGTACTCGCTCCTTGAGTGCCGACTTCAATTTTTATATGCATAAAAGTGAGCGTCCACTTTTACCGCTGAGTGCATACTTAAAGAAATGCGAGATACCTTAGTAGTAGACTCAGCTTTATAAGAAGTGAACGAAATGGCCGAACTTATGCCTACTTATCAGCCTACGAAGGTGTTTAAAGATCGTAGGGAATTAAAGGAAGTAGACTATCGGGCCTTATATCGGTTTAGTAAAGTTAATGTTGAGTGGATAAGTAACCATTTTCTTGGAGAGACAGAAGAATATAGGGGCGGTGCTTTGAGCAATATAGAAAGAATGAGGGTTTTTTTACGATATGTGGGTGATCCAGGATTTCAAATTGGCATAGGAGAAGCTATTGGTGTCCATCAATCTACGGCATCCCGTACCGTCTCCAACGTTATAACACGCATTGTGCGGAAGTCGAGCATTTGGATTAGATTCCCAACCACATGTGAAGATCTACACAATGCTAAAAATGAGTGGCAAGAAAAGTTCAATTTTCCTTCAGCTATTGGTGCTATAGACTGCACCCATATACCTATTCTGAACCCGTTTATTCATGCAAACGAATATGTGAACAGAAAGAACTTTGCTAGTATAAATGTACAAGCAACGTGCAATTCAAACGAAGAGTTCACAAGTGTGGATGTTTCTTGGCCAGGATCTGTACACGACTCTCGGATATGGAAGAATTCTGATATATGAAATGGAATAGGGCTAGTGCTATTTTGTTGGGAGACTCTGGGTATGTTATAGCTCTTTGGCTCATGACTCCTTTTAGGATTGCAGAAACAGCAGAACAAAGATCATACAATCGGCTGTTTACGAGAGAGCGAGTTATAATAGAAATATGTTTCGGGCAACTAAAACAGCGATTTCCCATTCCACATAACAAAATACGCGTCGATACAGAAAAAGTGCCCTCCCTTGTCATGAGTTGTTTTATCTTGCATAATGTGGCTAAGCACCTTAATGATGAAGATTTTGCTGTTGATATACCGGGAGATGGCGAACAAGAAGAAATCCATAATCAACATGGTGCTGACTATGCAGATGGAGTGATACGTCAGAGAGGTCAATTTAGAAGAGATGCAATATCAAAAATTATTCATGGCTATCGGGTCTAAGTAAGTATCTAGCATGATCCAAATTTACAAATTATGTAGATATTCGTTGAAGAACGATGTTTAATTACTCATAACAAAATTAATAACACTTTCAAAATGGCAACTTAAGAGAAAGTTCTTAAAATTAATAAAAAATAACATTTATGAAACATGAAGTACTTTTGTCAGTTCTGTCCTGGAAATAGGCTCATGAAAATTGGATTGCACTTTCATTTAAAGTTGATAAATTTGGATCAGATTCATTAATATTTTTCTTGTGAAGTAGCAGTTCCTTAGCTAGCCGAAACACTTGTATTTGTTCAAGTAAAACGAGACGTTGGAGCTCTGTTATTGATAAATCTCGTGCTTCATCAGTTTCCACTAATCCGTTTTCCTTTTTTTTAGAAGGCTCCTTACTGGGTCCGGCTTTCATTGTGGTAGCTTTCAGTACTGGTCCTGAACTTCCAGATGCTTCTTCGGTGATTGTTTCTTCTTCAGCACAGGCTGTTGGAGTGTAATCAATGCTTTTTTGTAGGCAACCTGCCACAACAGCACCCACAATTTAAAATATATGCTATTTATATTTATTGAGATGTATATATATATTATACTCAATCACATCTTATACCTACTGTATGGAAAAACAAAAAAATACAACTAACATTGCAATCGAGCAATACTAGGATTTGGTTCTCCTTGTAGACAATTGAACAGTTCTTGTTCCCATCCTTTCAATTTTATTGGTTTGTTTCCGGTTTGATATCTGTCTGTCTTCGCTTTTAATCTGGTTTTTATGTTTTGAATCTTCTTACAAATCTGCCTTTCGTTATAATTAACTCCTAATTCGGCTTCAACCTTTACTTTTATTTCTTGAGCCGCCTTACGTCGTTTATTTTTGATTTCCGGGATGTTAGATTTTTCCAACAAAACGGGATACTGTTCAATTATATTAACAAATACTGTTTGATTTTCAGATGAATGGTCTTCAGAATAGGTATAATCGACCTAAACACCACCGACACAAACGTTTACCGGTATACAGTAGTAACTGCTCGCAATAGAGAAATTGCCAATTCGACGAGACAACAAAATACAAGTCGGAACTCGAAAACCAGAGTGCGTACTCAAGTATTTCATTAGCACTTGAGTAGCCTCTACGTTTCTCGACAAATATTTTATGCATATCCAAACCGAGTATGCTCTCCCTAACAGGAGTAGTTACTCGCTACAATATGGAGTAGCTACTTCTGAGAACCCACTCGCCTTTATGCATATCACCCATTATCTTGCTGGAAGATTGATCTTAAGGGCATATTATCTTCCATATACACTAACATGACATTCTTTAGGATACCTGTGTATACAAACTTATCCATAATGCCATCTAATCTACTTATGTAAAGGTCCCATCCCAAACCCCGAAAAGCACCCCCAAACCATAACAGACCCGCCTCCATGTTTGACATTGTTCAAAGTGTACTTGGGGTTCAATCTTTGTCCACTAGGACGTCTTACGTAATGAACACCATCTGATCCAGACATATTGAACTTGGATTCGTCACTGAAACATACCCTCTTCCAGTCACAGATGCTCCAATCAAGATGCAACGTTCGAAATTGTAATCGGTCCTTACGGTTTTTCCTCGAGATTAGCGGCTTCTTACTCGGGCAAAGTGCAAACAACTTCAAATCATTTAATCTTCTATAGTTTTCGTAGAAACACTGGCAATTCCTTTTGTCTCGATTTCGGCTTTTATTTGTCTTGGGGTTTTAAACGGATCTTTGGACGAAATTACTTTTATTAATCTAACTGATCTAGCATTTAGTTTTCTAGGCCGACGACCACTTCTCTTAGAGGCTTCCAAGATACCTTTTTGTTGATATTTGTTCAATATTGCCCAAACTGCTTTACGCTTCAGCTTCAAATTTTTGGCAATGTCGACTTGACGTTGACCATCTTTGTATAACTCAATGATCTTAGTTTTCACATCGAAACAAATTTCTGGACCACGCGGCATGGTCTTAAAATCGCTCAACTTATTCCACAATACTTGATGAACACAAACTAATCCTCTTCTGACACGAAACTGTACTAAACTAATGTTGAAAAGAATTTGTCTACATATGTTTGTCCCTCATAAAAAAGTGCTTATATTCAGACTTGTATCGTGTTCATTGCAGATAATGTATAAACAAGGAATTTAGTTTTTCTACTAATAACGCATTTGTTTATGGAGCAATGAAGTATGGATTCGTTTTCTAAAGGTATTTCGGTAAATATTCATATTTGTCTGTATACTTTTGTTCTTTAATTTGTCATTCATATAAAAGATGAACCTACGAAAACTTGAATCATTTTTTAGAGATGAAATTGACCCCAAATCAAACAAATCTAGAGAAGGATTCAAAAGTCGAAGAATTTTGCGAAATGTGTTTAAAATTCGAGATTTATGATATAATTTAATTTAATAGAAGCGATAATGCTACAACTTCTTTGAAATTTATGACTAGTAAAATGTAATCTTCTTCTAGGTCATCAGTACTTTTAAGAGAAGTTCTTGGTTATGTTTCCTCCTGTCATTGTTTTGTATGAAACTCAAATAATTTTTAATTAAACTATGAACTTCCATGGACTAATTTGTGTTTTCCTTTTTCAGGTGAGTTTTTGGTTTAGCTATAAAACCTCAGGTGATTTCCCCCATTGGTGAGTTGTTATGATAAATTTTCTTTTGCTGCTACAACTTTGACTTGATTCATCTATAGGCTACTCTAGACAATATATTTTTTCAAATTTCAAGGGCCCCAACGCCACGTATGGGTGACAGAAATTTAGCGTTTTTTATGTCACTTTATTTCTATTTTCGGCAACGCTGACGATATGTCATATGTCAAATACGTTCAGCTGCTGGCACGTACATGAAATAACCCTAAAATATGTAATTTCTTGCAATACAAAGCGAAATAAAAAATCACAGACAGTGAGTATTGTTTTTTTCTTATTGCGTCAGCACTGGTGAGGTGAGACTCTCATAAAATAAAGTGAAAACAGTTTTGGCTGAACTAAACCTAATATTCCAACTTTATTTGGACCTTACCCTAAAACTTTTCGTTTTAATACTCTTAACATTTTGTCAATATCATGACTTAAATACTGAGAGCAGGTATTGATAAAACCCTCGCATCAAAACGATTGGTAAACTAGCCTTAACACACTTGCTCTCTTCTATATATTCTAGCAATACTAACTATATCAGTCCTTTAGCTAAATTGCCTTTAAGAAATAACCTGCTTCAGGTTTGAAAACAAAAGCAAAAACGTCTTCGACTTCGACTTTATTGTCCAGTGAAATATAAGAATAGTAACCATATGACATCAATACATGCTCTACGTTAGCTTTTTCACTTTCGCGGCGCGTCTTCAAAACGTACTAATTTCAGTTAATGCAGATAGAAGAAATCCATCACATTTAAATAACGAGCTAGTCCATCATATCCACATGCGGCTAACGTGCCATGCTGGAGACATCAAAATTATGGGCATTAACTGTGCACAGATGAGAGATGATGTACCAATAATTTCTTGAAAAGTAATAAATAACCGTATAAAAAATACATTCACCATTCTCTTCAAATCCGTTTGATCAAATTCCGATGAAAGTCTCGCTTGCTCTCACCGCAGGTTTTATAAATAGCTAACAACAACATTGACAATGAACTTCGAATTCGGCTCACGTGATGTAACGAATGCGAGTACGTTCACATGTATGCACGCTATTAATTATATAGAGGTTGGATTGGATGTTGCCAAGTTAACAATAAAACACGCACAAAAGATGGCGTCGAGCTATACTTTAAAGTTGGGAGTTTCCTTTACACGGCGCATAGATCTTTGAAGCAAGCAAAATAAGCAGTTGTTCTATAGCCAAAGTCACCGAGATTCTTAAACTTAAAGAAACTCTAATCCGGTCCTGTACCTCGATCAGATCCAAACGTGAGCACGTACGATGCGGACCAATTCTCATTCAGGCACTGGCCGCGTTTGTGAAACCTTTACACGTCGGTTCTAAAAGAAAAATTGTACACTTTTACAGTAGTTTCGGTATAGTATACTTCCCATACCTTTATGTCATTAATTAGATTATGTTCTAAAGGGTTGTCTAATAGGGACGCAGGAAAGTAAACGTCAATTTAACACAGACGCCATCTTTTTTTTCTGTCACCGACATGTCATTTTGTTAGTTGAATGTTTACCATTGATCGCTATGGAGTCGTATTCGATTGAATACCGCATTAAAGTTATTCAAGAGCACTACAAAAATGGTGCAAAAATAAAAAACACGTTTCGCGCGCTTCGTGAACATTTTGGTCGCAACAACCGCCCAAACGAAACAACCATCGCTCGTCTGGTGCGTAAATTCGAGGCAACAGGTTCTGTGGCAAATGTGTCAGGCTCTGGCCGGTCAAGGAGCGTTCGCACACGGAAAATGTTGTGAAGGAGGGTGTGGGCGGTAAACAAGCAAAACTGCCGCATCTGGGCGAACGAAAATCCCCGTGAGTATCAAGAGCAGCCGATGCATCCTCAAAAAGTGACTGTGTGGTATGCATTGTGGTCAAAAGGCATCATCGGACCTTACTTTTTCGAAAATGTGGTCGGGGACGCCGTTACCGTCAATTCTGAGCGATATCACGTGATGATAGAGGACTATTTTTTGCCGCAACTTGAAGGAATGGATATGGACGATGTTTGTTTCCAACAAGACGGTGCAACATGCCACACAACCAACGTCAATATCCATCGATTGCAGTCCTCCTTCGGTGATCGCGTGATTTCGCGCAGAGGAAATGTGCCATGGCCACCAAGATCGTGCGATTTGACTCCCTTGGACTTCTTTTTATCGGGATATTTGAAAAGCAAAGTCTACGTCAATAAACCAGCCACCCTCCAAGAACTCAAAAACAATATCAAAAAAGAATTTTTGAATTATTTGACCCTCTATCACCCCGTCAAAAATTATGAAAAAATTCCTGAATGTAGGTCAGATTACATATATGTTTTTTTAGCATAACGTGGGTCAGTAAGTTTTGTTAGACAGGTGTTTAAAACTTTTAAATCCTAAACAATTGAATTTACCCCAAAAAAAATAAAAAATGGTTTTGATTTGACGCAAGCAAACGTGTAAAATCTGCTAATGCTAATATTTAAAAAATACAACAAAAAATCTCTTGGCTTGGTCATATCTATTCAAAAGCACTGGGAATTATCACTTTAAACTATAAAAAACTCATATTATTGATAATAAATACGTAAAAGTTTTGGTGGGGTTGAAATATATGAATTTTCGAAAATTTGATTTCCGTCGTATGGCGTAGTCGAACAAATTTTGAGTTACCTTCATAAGCTCAACAGTGACGGTCATAAAGAATATGTGCATCAATGATTTTCAATTTCTTGGTGCGCTTGGAGCTCGGATTAATTTTCCTCAGGGTCGCGAACCATCGGTAAGAGATAACTTTCTGTGAATATGTACTTGCTCCAAAAACTTTTTTAAAATTGTACCCACAATCAGGCTAAATATGGAAATTCTAATATTCAACCGGATACTCAGGGTTGCGCCTATGGATGTGTTTGATATAATATGTATCTGTCTATTCCTTACCATGTCGATCTATTGGCA